AAGAGTGAGAGAAACATCCACATGTAAGAGAAACATCGATCAGTAGCCTCTCGCACATGACCTGGACCAGGAACCTGGCCTGCAACTCAGGCATTTGCCCTGACAGGGAATTGAGCCGGCAACCTTTTGTTTTGCAGGACAACACCCAACCAATTGATTTACGCCAGTCAGGGCTAATATCACTTTTTAAATGTATGCTATAGTATAACATGGGCTCTTTTTTTCCAGTTCATGATATCTATTTTCTCACCATCCATGAAACCTAAGCCCCTGCTCCATATTTTTAGGTTTTTGCTAGTTAGCACTTCTTTTAAAGGTACTCATTTCTGAGTTAGTTAGGGTGAGCAAATTGCTGTAACAATTGTATAACCACCTGAATAAATAGAAGTTTATTTCTTATTTACATAACAGTTCTGGAATACTACATGTCTAGGCAAGTTAAGAGATCAACAGGGTGGCTAGGGACTCAGTTTCTATCATGGTAACCCCAGGGTTGTCTATGTCCATTCCAGTGATCTGTAAGTTAAAAAAAGAAAAAGTAGGAATGCCGTGGGGGAAGTTTTTACTGGGTAAGCCTGGGAAGGGTGACATCATCTCTTTACATTTCATTGATTATAATATAGTCATACCTATATTGTAATATTGGGGTGGCCTAGGGCAACTAGAGCATGTAGTCTCAAAAAAAAAAAACAACCAAAAAACAATGTAGTGTCTGGCTGGGTAGATATTTCCCTGGGACAACTCTATACTGTTTACTACAGTGGCTGTACCAATTTATATTCCCACCAACAGTTTATGAAAGTTCCCTTTTCTCCATATCTTTGCCAGCACTTGTTACCTTTTGTCTTTTAGATAATATTTATTCTAACAAGTGTGAAGTGATATCTTACTGTTGTTTTGATTTCTACTTAATGATTAGAGATGAGCACCTTTCCATATACCTGTGGGCCATTCAACTAATTAATACATGTCCCCTTTTGAGAAATGTCTATTTAAATACTTTGTCCATTTGTAAATGGGGTGGTTTGTTTGTTTTGTTTTGTTGTTGAGTTGTGTGAGTTTCAGGCATTTTTTAAAAGTAAACTAAAACAGTTTTCATGAAAAATGGTACTGAGCCCTGATCTGTGTGGCTCAGTTGGTTGGGCCTTGTCCTGAAAACCGAAAGTTTGCCATGGATGTTTTTCTTGCACATCAATGTCTCTCTCCTTCTCTTTCTTCCTTCTCCTCTATCTAAAAATAAATACATAAATAAATAAACAAGATCTTTGAAAAAATTGGGACCCAAAGAACTGACTGATATACAATCCAAAAGGATTAATGTCCTTTTTTTCTTTTTATAGCTGTTTGAAGCATAACTTACATATCATTCACCTATTGTATACAGTGATATTTAGAAATTATAAAGTTGTACAACTATCACTCATCTTGTTTCAGAAGACTACCATCATTAAAAAAAGTTTTCTTGAGCCTGTTTACAGTTAATCTTTACTCCTACTCCTAGCTCCAGGCAACCATGGGTCAGCTTTCTGTCTCTATAAATTTGCCTTCTCCGGACAGTTTATCTAACAGAATTATACAACATTTGTGAGTCCTATCTATTCTTTAAGGCCCAAATCAAACATATTTTCTTACCTCCCCTTTTCCTACACCTTCTTCATCTATTCATTTAGAAGAGTTTTTTTGGGTCGTGTTTTTTTTTTTTAAATCTCTGGCCTCCCACAGCACATTCTCTATCTTTCTATAACTCAAATTGTTTTCTCTTGTTACTTAATTACACAGTTCATTTATATCAGCAGAACCTGCACATTAATAATGTCTGTATCTCCCCTAGTGTTCTTATCCACGGACTTGGGATTGGTCAATGGACATATTTGCTCAATAGGGATAGAGTCCTTTTTGTGTGTGATTTTTGTGTTCCTACCATTAGGTGACTGAGCTCAAACCTTGTAGTACAAAGGAATTCTATGTATTAAAGAGGATTTGGGGGTCTGTGACTTATCATTTGTTTGTTGAGTAAGCATTCAACAAAATTCTATCTTATCCTCTGCTGTGTAACAATCTTGAGTTAGCATGCTGTGATGTGCAATAATATAGACAACCAAGAAAACTGATTTGTTCATTGCTTTTATATGAAACTTTTAATTTCTATTAAATAGAAAATTCTGTATTGACCTCTTTGGTGCATGAATTTGTAGCACAAAAGGAAGCCTTTCATTAAGGGTCTGAACCCTCTCAGCTCAGTCAGCATTTACAAATTATGTGCAGAGCAGTTTGTGATGGTGTGAGTCAATGACATTGCCTCGTAGATGTATAGGGTCTACCTATGCTCCCAAATCAATATTTGAAAGTTTAACTTTTTAAAGCAGACAACAGTTGTAACTTTTAGATTCCCCCTCTCCTCCCCACCCAAGGAATAACAGAATAAAATGAGCTGTAGGTCCCTCACAGCAATATAAAATAGACTGAATTCTGTCATGGAACAAAGTCTCTGCATTTAATCTAACATTCGTTGGAAGAGTTGGATGAGCCAAATGAAACTTTAGTATATGTAAATATAGGTAATATTATGAAAATAATGTGTCTAAAGGGAAACTATATAGTAGAATACTAGAGACTTTCTTTACGAAATGATAGCTTCTGTTTTGATATAAGGAAATATTTCCTGTTTGACAGACCTCATTAACCCTAACTGGCACTATAGAATTACCTTGATCTTAGCTTACAGAAGGAAATTTTTATAATAAATTAAGATTGTTGAGGTTTTTGTTGTGTGTTGCTTGAGGATTTTTTTTTTTGAAATTTTTCCATGAGATTACCTGTGTTACAACATTCCTATTTAGATTGCTCTTTTCTTACTTAGAAATCTTCAAAGATTATTGGCAATTTCCAATTTAGCAGAATGCTGGCAATAGTAACTACTTGCTATACCATGACAATAACCTCTTTCCCTTAGGTCTCTGATATCAAAGTGTCCTTAGATAAGGAAGAGGATGTTCACTATCATATATTGTTCAAGTTCAACTGTTCATTTCAGTTTGGACAACACTTTGGCTTTCACGCGTGGAAGCCTGGGAGTTTTTTTCCCTTCGTAATGTAACTGGGTGCTGAGCTAGAGGTCCCCAAAATGGAATGTCCCCCACTAACCGGGCTTGGGGAAAGGGGAAGTGGAGCAGGGCTGTTGAGAGTTACTTTGCAGGTCTAAAGAAGTTGGCCAGTGTTTTAGTAATGCTAATAGCTCTGCCTGCCCCTCTTGGAACTAGGGAGATATCCGGGCGGGCGTGACTCTAACCCAGGATGCCGCCAGTGCTCCCTCCCCCTCTTACTGCACCTGGGGTGCAAGTGGCATGGAGGTGGTTCCCACATCCTGGGACCAAGCCTGCCTGGACTAACTGGCAGCTGAGAAAGGCAGAAGAAACAAGAGTAATGGCAGGTGTCGGAAATGGAGTTACAGAGGATCTGCATCAGGATTTAAAGTTGGGCTCAGCAGCCTCCCTAGGGCTTAACCATGTGGCTTGTAAAGGAGAATGCTCTCTTGACGCTGTAGCTTGGAAGCGGTCTTGGCCACGTGGTTTGAAAGGATGCAGAAAGACCACCACCGGCCCACCATGAGGAGGGGCCATGTGGTTTTGGTTTAAGAGCAGGAGCCTAGCCAAGCACAGAGAACTGGAAGAAGCTGGAATACAGATGGGAATCTGCCCAGCTAAGCTACAGACTTTTTTTCCATGAGACAGTATCCCTGACTCCCCTGGTTTGGCAAGGGGAGGCAGGACGGTATGAATATGGTTTTTTCGTTTGTTTGTGTGTTTCTAAAGGGATTGGGGTTTAATGGCAGAATTCCACCATTATTCTAAACCTGTATAACTTTTGAATATAGTTCCTTTCTTTTTCATAAGACTGGCATTGGGAGTCATGGTTCTTCGGTGTCAGGCAATAGAACCCAGAGAAATAGAACCCAGAGTGGCTGTTTCACTAACTAAACAAGGATTCAAAAGTTTTTTTAAACAAAGTTCTTTCCGCAAAATCTGTTTTCATACCAAATTACTCAAACAGGTCCTCTTCCTCTTTGCTTCCTCTACTTGCAAAGCCCCTCCCATTCTTCTAAAAACTGTGGAGCTCTTACTCATCCTTCAAGATTCAGCTCAAGTAGTAACTCCCAGGTGGAGGCTTCCTCAACATGGCAGGCAGAGGCTGGTTAGGAAGTCCCCCTCTGCTCCCAGAACTCAGTGAGAGCAACTCAGTATATGGGATTTTCTGCCTTCTCGTGGGTCTCGCCCCTGTGCATGAGTTTTCAGGGAGGGGACCATGTCTTTTATTTTTTTTTTCCCTTGTGTTTAATCCAGCATTTGGCACATGGTAGGCTTAGTAAAACTGAGCGACTGAAACTATTACCTGGCGACTTTCTGCCCACTGGGAGCAATCCTCCATGTAGGTTCCTCTCCTCCGGCAGGCCAACTGCAGGAGTTTCACCTGGCACAGCCGTTCCCGCCAACCCAGCATTTAAAAACAAACAGCTGTGGCCCTTAGGGAATAGAGGGTGGCCCTCACAACGACTGCCTTTCATGAACCCCGATCGGTTAATACCCCTCAGCTGAGCTGGTAAAGGCGCTTTGCAATTTGTTCAGTTGAGGAAAATGCTTTTCCTGAACAAACTCAGCATCCCAAGGCAGTTCTCTTAACTGTCGGCTGGAGATGTGGTCCGCTTTTTTTCTAAAGGGGATAGGAAGTCGAAGAAAAAGACGTGGGACTCAAAAGTTGTTGGGGTGTATAACTCTCATCGCAGCCTCTTAGACTCGAGTCCCCCTGTTCATCGCCAGCTGATGACTACGAGGACCAACGCCTTCCAATCCGTAGCGCCAGCCCCGTGACAAACGCCTAGCCCACCGGCAGCTCCCTCAACTGTTCTCACACTCGGCGCTCCGCCCACCCCTGGGAGGTGAACCACCGTTCTCGCGAGAACGGAGTTAGCCTCTCCTCTTTGCATTGCGGGCTCTCGCGAGAACAGGATTAAGAACCGGCCTGCAACCTGCCGGGGCGGCTCTGGTAGCCCGGGCTGCCTGAGTGGCCGTCAGGCGAGACACCTCTGGAGGGGTCGAGTTGAGGAGGAAGCAGAGGTGTCGCCGGCCCCGGTTTTTGCCTAGGCTCTCTGTGGACGCTCAACGGGCACTACAGGTTCGGGGGTGACTGGACGCAGCTGGGGAACTCGGTGGGGGCGGCGCCGGAGGCTGGGCTTGGTGGGGGCGAAGGAGGAAAGGGGAGGAGGGCGAGTCAGGGCTGGAGAGCTGGGCTGCTCAGGCGGTGGTCTGTGCGTCTCGGAACCTGCTAGGGGACCGTGGGTGGGGTTCTGGGCTGCGGTCGCTGGCACCCAATTTGCCGAAGCAGGGATGGGGCTTGGGGGCGGCGGTGCTGTTTTTGGGTTGGGAGCCCCGAGGCCTTTCAGCGGGGGTGAAGGCAATACCCTCATCCATCCTTCCCGGGGCAGAAAAACCCTGTGCCCCGCCTCTTTTCTGTTGTCCCTGGGCTAAAGCGGCGACGTCCTGATGAGGGCGCATCACAATAGGGGAGAGGTGGCAAGTAGTCTTCTTTTGGGTGAAAAGCAGTGAGATCCTAATAGAGTGCTGTGCTGCGTGGTTTTATGGTGTGATAGCATCACGTATGGTAAAGCTTTGTTTCTCCGAAACTTGCGAAGGAAAACTTTTTCTTCTTCAGATGCAGGTTTCCTAACACCCTTCATTTTCTGGAATGGGGTACGGGGAGGTGAGACATCACTTAGTAATTTGTTAATATGGGAACAGTGTGACCATCTCTGATCCTCACAGATTTCATACTTTTCTCCTCAGAATTTTGAGTCCATGATGAAAAGACACTAATCCAGATAGGCTAAAGATAGAGCCTCATCTGTTTGTCACTCTGTGTACTTAGCATACAAAAAATATTTAAATTTTGTATCTTTAAAAGTCTTCAAGCTTTTTATTTAAATTTACAATCAATGAAGCAGCATGGTGTATTGATTTTATTAGGGCAGTTGGTTACCTCCCCCGCTTCCCCAACTACACAAGTGTGATCAACATTTTTTAGAGAGGCGGTTAGAGATACATTTTGAAAGAAATAGACTGTAGAAATTGTAATGAGAGATATATAAGGGATGAAACGATAAAGGCCAAAGGATATTTCTGTGTTGGAGAGCCCATCCAGGACTAAAGTCCAAGCACTGAAAATGAGGACTGCAGTTGTTACTTGAATACAAAGCAGAAAGCAGTAGAAAAATACTTGGGAAAGGATTTGATTGATGGTGGATTGAGACTGTTAAAGTGTGAGAATTATTTTTGAAGGTCTAAGTGTTTCATAAATATTTCTAACATTTCTCAGAATTTATGACCTAACCGCTATTGTTATACACAAAGAGAAAGTGGGAAGGGAGGTTCTGCATGGAGTGTGGTAAAAAGAACGTAGTAGTGTGTTCAATCAGGAAAGCTTTCAGTGTCTCAAAAATGTGTTTGAGTTCTTTCAGCTTTTTTTTCCTTCACTCCCAAAAAAAGCTTTCAGATGGGCTTTTTGCTTTCTGTATGTCACCCTTCTCCTAGTCTGAATTTTTTTTTTTCAACCCCTCTAAGCCTTGTGAGATTTTTAAATTATAAACTATGAAGTTACACATTGCTTTGGTCTGCTATGTGACTTTTTACTGTTAGGTGACTTGGTGAAGTATAGAAGTGATCGGGAAAACATTTTGCACCCTTTCAAAGAAATAGTTTATGAATAGCAAACTCACATGCCTTCAGATACTATGCAGATGAAAATAAAAATGAGTGAAAGGTACTGGAGAGTTTATGCCTCAACTAAGGGACATTCAGTTCTCAGGTCCACCTGATTAGTGCCCTACATGAATATGGGCCCAGTCTTCAGCTTTATCAAGAGAACACAAGAAGTATAGATTTTTGTTTGCAGCCTCTTGATTTTTAAAAATACTGAGAATGAATTAAGACAATTGAAAGTAGCTCCATGTGGCCTAGCCAAGCCCAAATCTGTCAGTAATTGTATCCTGCTCTTCAGTTTAGGACCTCTATTATAGGTGAGAATAAATTTTATAATTGGAAAAAAAAAGATTTAAAGCAGGTATACCAATTAGTTTAGAATTTCAAAACTTGGAGGACTTGGGAAAAATGTCAGGTCTAACTGAAAACAGTAGATAAGTGTAATAGTCAAGTTTAAGAACCTTTAAATACAGTAGGAGTAGGACAGATTGAACTGGTACTTATTACCACTTTAACTGGAAATAACAAGAAAAAAAAAGCCTCTCAGTATTTATAGTTTAATAACTCAGTATTCTAGGCAAAGGTAATTTAAAGGTATCTTGTAAGGAAATCAGTTTATTGAGAAGCACTTTATTGTATTTGCAATTACTATGTAAAGTTAAATCCAGGAGATGCTTTACAACTTAGCTATAGTTTTGAATGTTTAATGCCTGCTGTACCAGCCCACATTGCCTTCCCAGTCGTTGACTTACAGGAAGCAACATTGATTCCTTGGATTTTATTCCTTGGCTCTTGGGGTGGGGGAAGGAAAGAAACGGGATGGGGAGAGTATGATGTGAAGTAGTCACTCATGTGCTTCTTTCTTACATTATCCATTAAAAGATTGATTTAGCTTATTTTTCTTCTAAGAAGAATGGGTACTTTGGTAGATTAACCACAGTGCCTTATACATAGTAAAGCTTAATGATATTTGTGGAGTTGAATCCTAGTGGATTAAACCACATTTACCTATTAGTGTGAAGTACTTTAATGACATAATCTAATTTGTACTTAGTTGGATTGTGAGGAATGGGATTTTAGAGGTTAGACCTAAGAAAGAAGTGGACTGTACATAGGATGTAGAGAGCAATGTGAGGGTCTTCCATGGGGGTAAGGGTGAGAGGAGGCTAGGTGAGGGAAAGAGTTTTGAAAAGGAACATAAAATGGATACCTTTTTATCTATGGTGCTGTTTTACAAAGAGCTCTATCTTTTATAACTAAATTGATCATAACTCATGCATAGATTACATAGAATACTGATTTTTAATCAGGACTACTTTGGGAGTTTGCAGCCTTGTATTCCTTCTTCAAAGCCCAGCCTTTGCAGGTCAAGCTAGTCTAATATCTCTTCATCCAATCCCTCCCTCTTTGGTATAGGAAGTGAAACAGGAAGAGATTATGTTTGTGAGGTGTTCCTGTTTAAGAATTTTTAAAACATTCTGAAGAATCTGTTGTATATTTGTGGAGATTATGCATGTTCAGGAAGAGCCATCATTTTCTTCTACACATGTTTCTACCCTGCCTTGTCAAGTAGGAAGTGCTTTCTAGTTAAGTACTTTTACCCCTTCTTCATAGCCCCCCCAGATGCCTTCACAAAGGAGGGTTAAGTGAGGTTAGGAGAAGGAATTGAGTATCCTTTTTTTCCCCCCTTTGAGTATGCTTTTGCTCACCAGTGTCTTTTGGTTCTATTTTTTGAGCTCTCAATTCTTAGATTATACATTTCTTTAGACTCCTTTGAATGGGAGATTTATCTGAGCAGGCTGGGCCCTGTGAGGGATATGCAAATGGAACATCTACAAGTCTTAAGTTTAATTTACTATTGAAGTTACTAGGAAGTTTTTTTGGCCACTGGTTTCAGTCATATTTTTATGTTTATCTATCTCAACTTCTTCATTGTTTTGTTTCTTTGTTGGTTATGACCCACAGTAATGGAAGAAAAGGTTGTTATAGATGTTCACTAATGGAGGAAGAACTACAAAATTATTTTCTCCTCTTGGATGGAATGTTTAGGAGGGTTCAAGCTAACGCTGCTTGCTCTGGTGTATTTTGGCATCCTTGAAACTGAGACCTAACTTGCTTAGCAGGTAACAATCTAGAACTCAGAGATGGAAGGTAAGTAATCAGAATTCAAAGAGATGCTCTCTGAGAGAGGATTAGGAGGTTGGTAATCATTAATTGTAGGCAGTGAGATTGAGAAACATGGAGGTGAGAGAAACATTGATGGGTTGCCTCTTGCACACACGCAAAGCCAGGACCAGCCTGCAACCCAGGCATGTGCCTGGACCAGGAATCCAATCAGCGACCTTTCACTTTGCGGGAACACAGAACCAACTGAACTACGCCTGCCAGAATGCCTTTTCCATCATAACTACGCACTTACCATGCATGTGGCCATAATTTGCAGTGTGTGGTGTGACAGCAAAACTAGCATGGATTTATTTTTCCTTCTTTACAATTTCACAGATAGAAGATTTTGTTTTTATTGTAGATTTCAGCAACCTCAGCATACAATCTTTTCTTCTTATTGAGAATGTTCACCTTTTCACTTAAAAAAGTACTGTACAGCTTCTCTTTGGCATACGTATCTGAATTGACAGTATCACTATTCTTGCATTTTGGGGCCGTTATTAAGTAAAATAAAGGTTACTTGAGCACAAGCACTGAGATACAGTTGATTTGATAATTGAGAAGTCTATGCTAACTGACTAATGGGCAGGTAGTATATACAGTGTGGCTGTGCTGGGCAGAGGAATGATTCATGTTCCAGGTGGGACGGAACAGGGTAGTGAGAGATTTCATCATGCTACTCAGCATGGTGTACAATTTGAAATTTATGAATTTCTGGAATTTTACATTTAATATTTCGGACTGGGTGTTAATTGCTGGTAATTGAAACCATGGAATGCAAAAGTGCCGATAAAGAGGAAACTTTTATGTCAAATATGTGATCTTATATCACAGTAGTAATTTCTGAAGATTGTACTATGCCAAAAGGTATCCATGACAATAAAAGCTTCTTTCTTTACCCTCAACATTTTAATTATTTTTTTCTATTTAAAATGTAAGATATCTGATTGCATGGTATTTATTTTTATCTTTATAGCTGAGTGATCTATTAGTATTTTTGGTCACAAACTGAAATTAACCTTTAGTATTTGGGGGTGAGATTCTGTCATAGTAAGTCACTGATTGAGGTATTACTTGATTAGAAACTATGAATAACACTTCTAAGTTCATTTTAAATTGTAGTCATCCTTTTCTGCTTGGATTACCTTATTTGGGTTCACTTAGATCTGGGTTTAAAGCCAACTTAGAGCTTTATGACATAAAAGTTACTTAACCTTTATGAACCTTTGTTTACTCACATGAAAAATGGAGATA